GTGTGAGCCTCAGTTTGGCGAGAAAAGAGGAAGATCGTGTTGTCGAAAACCAGCCTCTGAGCTTTGGAGCCATAAAGGCAGAGTTTGGGTAAAGAGGAACGATAGCTTTATTGCCTTACCGGGCGAAGGAGGCTGTCACAGGCTAAGGCCTTCAGAAAAAACCTGCAGGCCGGCCCACAGGGAGGGGCCGGGGCTTTTAGGGAAATACAGGATCTAGCTGGCTTTGACAGGAACTGTGTCCTTGGTGCGGGCCTCCTTTGTTTGTATCTTTAGAGTGGTACCCAGTTCCTGAAACCAAAGGCTGGGGAGCGGGGGAGGTTTGCAGAAGAGAGTGAAAAGGTTATGTTTTAAAATCAGGCTTTGCTGAAGCATTAGCACAGCCATTTTGATTTTTTGTTCAGCTTTATGCTTTTGAGTGGTTTCAGTTTCTACTTGAGAATATTGTAGTGAGACAAAATGAAATACTGCATGTACAACATCCAGCCTAGCACTTGGCTCAATAGATGTTAACTCTTGCTGTTAATGTTACTGAAGTTCTAAGGGTGAGACAATGAAATAAATTTTGCGAAAAGCTGTCAAATAATTTTAAAACACTGTTATTCATTCATCTATGTCACTGAGTAATTTTGTTAACTTGAGACTTGATCCATAGAGCCCGGTAGTTTATTGAGAAAGGGAAGAACTGTCAGGCTTTAACTAGTGAGTTTTACTAAAGTAGGTGGAGTATTTCATTAGATTTGCCTAAGGACCCTACCAGGTGGGTTTTATTGTGCAGATTTGACAAATGAGGAAGCCAAGACGTTTAGAGGTAAAATGACTTTCATGTAATAGGTAAACCAGCAAAGAAGGGATTGGAATGTATAGTGATTTGAATTTGATAGATTTTGATACTGATTTTAAGTTTGATCTCTAATGGAACCTGCATGAGTGTTTCTGGAAGGCTAATAAATAAATAAAGAAGCCACCATAACTTCCCTTGATATTTACAAGATTTACCATGGTAGGTTTCAGAAAATCATGAAGTAGATTCATCTGTTTAATGGAGTGATAGTTGGACTAGTTACTAAAAGATGGATTTTTTTTTTTGCCAGCATTAGATATCCTTTAAATTGAATTGAGAGTGTTGAAGATTCAGATGTCTTTATTTATGTATTTATGTAGCTTTTACAAGTAAGATGTGAAGTAAATACAAATGAATGTGAGTTCCAGGGGTATTTCTACTTACGCCCCTCTTTTCTGGCTGTGATGCTTTATGATGAATGGACTAGAATATAGGAGAGATGATTGAAACTTATTCCAAATTAAATTTTGGGCTACATTAGTGACGAAGAGCTTTGAAATGACTGTTTTGAGGAGTCCACCTTCCTCTTTCAGTGGCGACTACTCCATACAACCCTCAATTTACCTCAATTTACCTCAATTTACAGTGGTTTTCCTACCCTGTTCCTAAAAGCGTAGGTATATTTTCTCTATGTTATCATTATACACAAGCCCTGATGAGTTTTAAATGTGAGATTCTCTCCCTGGGGAGATGAACTTTAATTTTTTTTTTTTGTTCTGCATCCTGGCATTCTGGTTATGTTGTGAGAAACTGCTGTATTCCCTGTTGGTGTGACATGAAAATATTCTTTGTAAAGGACCAGAGATGGTGAGAAGGACAGAAAGGAGAGAAAGACAACAGCAGGAAGATGAAGGACAAGGCCAACTGGGAGAGAGGTGTAGAGGAATGGAGAGAGAGAAAGATGAGGGAGAAAGAAATGGAGTTACGTAAGAGAGAGATGACTGATGGAAAGAGACAGTTGGGGACAGTGGAGAATGAGAAAGGAGGAGAGAGAGATGGGGATCAGAGGTGGAGAGGGAAAGAAACCAAGAAGGCGGGACCCCAACTCCTCCTGGGCCCAGCAGGGAGCTGGCAAGAAAGAATTTGAAGCTAGAGGGACATATTATCCAGAACCAGGATTGAGTCTAATTGTAAGCAGACCCTGCCTGCCCCCTTCAGATGAGTGATGGACTCCTGGCATGTGACCTGGCTTGGCAGTCTCCACCCCCTGTCCGGGCTGCCATAAGGAGATACGTAATGTCTCGAGTGATGGGAAAGTCATGCCTGCAGATGGTACAGATGGAGCTGCCTCATAAAATGACTCACTGTGAATCCTCACTGAAATCTTTGCTATAAAGATGATAATGGAAAAAGCACAAGAAAGGCTAAACAGGCTTGAAAGAAATTTGTTCCAGCCTGTGGAGCTCCCTTCAAATTTTGAAAGGAGGAGAAAAAAAGACCCTATTAGTAAAATGCCAGGAAGGTAATGTATCTTCTTCCCTCCTGGCTATAGCCCTCCCTCACCCCCGCCTCCTTTTGACATCAGTATGTAAATGGAAGCAGCAAGGGAAAAGGAGGAAGAGTTTTGGAGGAAGATGTAAGAATTATTTATTATGCATAAGCACTGATGTTCTGGAGAGGGAGGGCTGGGAGGCTCGGAAGAAAGGGAGTGGTGTTTTGGAGAGCAAAGAGGCAGGCTCTCAGGGAGCAGGAGAAGTTGTCTTTTGTTGGGATAGATATTGCCAGAGCGGAGTGGGCCTCCCAGATTGTGAGGTCAGGCCCTGGACGACGGAGGCAGTTAGTGTTAGTCACGAAGGCCTCTGCAGCTAGAAGAGGAAATTTTGAAGTCCAAAAAACAGCATTCTCAGAGTAGCTACTACTGGCAATTTTGAAGTCACCCAAGACCATAATGCTTCTACACATCCCCAGTTATAGATCAGTTTTATGGATACGGAATCAGCCAGAATTCGAGGGTCCTCCGATGGCAGGACTGTTATTTAGTGGAAGGACTTTACAGCTTCAATAACAGCAGGAAGATGAAGAATGAGGCCCCGTGGGAGAGAGGGGGAGGAGAAATGGAAAGACAGACAGAGTGCCCCCTGGCAGAGCTGGGACTGCAGTGGATTACCAGGAGGAGCGCCAGCTGGAGCAGAGTTGTAGGACAGAGAGTCACATTCAGGGCCGCGCACTCTGAGTAGCAGTTGGTAGCTAGTAGTCAGGTTAGAGCTGGGTTTCACTGCAAGGGGAAGAACTCAGAGTGAGGCATCTCCACTGTACTGATGGAGAAGGTGGATCAGAACCAGGGTGTGCGTGAACAGTGTACATTGGGACAGTCACAGATCAGCAGTGGTCCAGGCGGACAGTGAAGGTACGGATGTCTTGCTTATGAACAGAGCAGAGCCTAATGATTAAGGTGTATAGCATGGCTTGGACACTTGGTGGGATACAGAAGCTGGGAATACCCTGTCTGCAGGGCAGAGCTGTCTAAGGAAGTGGATGGGGAACGTGCCAGGTGGAAGATGGAGCGACAGGAAATCACATGATGGTAGGTTCGAATTAGGGACTTTGCAAGAAATAGAATCCAGGTCCTGTGGTTCAAGAGTTGATGATGAAGGGAAAACTTAGGTGTGGACAAGGTTGAGGGAGCCAACAAAGGATGAAGTACTCGGACTAGCCACAGCTAGGAGCTGCTACCACTCTGTGTTTGAAGGGACAAATGAAGGGATATGTTTCTGCAGCCCAGTGAGAGTGGAAGCTGTAGGGGAGGGCCTTCCTGGCCAGTGTTAGGATCATAGAGCCCCAACCAGGAGGGTGTCTTAATCTGTTCAAGTTGCTATGACAAAATGCCACAGACTGCGTGGCTTATAAACAACTGAAATTGCTCACAGTTGGGGAGGCTAAAAGTCCAAGATCAGGATGCCAACGTGATCGGTACCCTTCAGTGTTGTGGACTTCTCCTTGTGTCTGCATATGGTGGAAGGGCTAAGGAACTCCCTTCTAGGGGTCTTTGATAAGAACACCACTCCCATACATGAGGGCTCCAGGCTCATGACCTAAACCTCTACCTTATAATAACATCACACTGGAATATGAATTTTGGGGGAGCACAGATATTCAGACTATAGTAGAGAGAATGGAGATGAAATACTCTGACCTCTTGTCCTTCCCTCCCATGTTCTCCTGATGCCTTTCATTGGTCAGGCCCAGTCTGAAGACAGCAGTGAGGAGATCGGTAAGGTCAGGCTCGTGGATCACAGAGCAAGGCACAGTGAGAAGGCCACTCAAAACTACCTAGGCTCTCAGGCCCAGGCTCTGATGGGCATGACTCTAGTACCAATGAGCAATGGCAGTGCTAAACGGGGAAACTGAGCCGTAAACCCTACCCTTGTATGAGGAGACAAGGGGGAGCTTATGGTTCAGAAAGAGCCTTAGTGGGGCGCCTGGGTGGCTCAGCTGGTTAAGTGGCTGCCTTTGGCTCAAGTCATGATCCTGGGGTCCTGGGATTGAGCCTCACATCCGGCTCCCTGCTCAGCGGAGAGCCTGCTTCTCCCTCTCCCTCTGCCTGCCACTCTGCCTACTTGTGCTCTCTTTCTATCTCTCTGTCAAATAAATAAATAAAAATCTTAAAAAAAAAAAAAAGGAGCCTTAGTAGGTACCTGGGTTGTATACCTGTGTTCTTGCTTTGTTAGATGGGGGTGGAGGCAAGGCTGCAAATGTCCTTGTCTCCATCCTTGTGGGCTCCAGAGTTGGGCAGGGCCCCGGAGCTCCCAGAATTCTGGTGTTGGAGTTGCTGTAGGGTGGAGGCAGAAAGCCTTGATCGGCAGTGGTGGTTTGAGTGCTAGGGAAGTCACGTAACACCGGAAAATCAGAAGCCTTGGAGGAAAGGCTAAGAGTGGCCAAGAGCCTAGAGAATTACTTTCGAGGAACTAGAAGGGCCATATGGGATAGGAAACAGGGCAAGGCAGCATCCATGCCAAGAAGGGCCTTGAAAACAAGGTGGATCTCCTTCACACCAGAGATTTTATTTTGTTTTGGTTGTGATATAAGGGCCAGGCTCCTTGTCATCAGCCTGTAAGGGAAGTGGGAATGGGGGAGAACTTGCTGAGAAGTATGGTACAGTGGGAAGGAGAAGTGTTCATTTTGGTGAGAGAGGTCTTGATAGTCTGGTTTTCAGCCCTGCATTTTCTCACAACATGCCTCTTCAATCTTCCTTGACTGAGGATTGTACTTAGAGGAGGAGCCTTTCTCCTTCATGTTAGATTCAAGGCCTGACCTGAGCTCATTTCTGCATTAGCTGATGACGTAATTAATTGACTCTATTATGTATACATGGGATAGACTTTTATTTCATAGGTTCACAAATAATACTAAAATGGGGTTTTAAAGATAAATGGAATAGATCTTCAATTAAACCCTATGGTCCTTTCCTTGGATAGTCACAAAGAAGATGGTGATTATTTCCCAGTTATACCATAGGCTACATTGTGGCATTTTGAATAATTCTTGGTCTCTGTCTTGACAGAATCGTGTATTATTGTCAGGAGAGAGTCATCTGCATGCTGCTGCTTTTTTGGACATGGCAGGTGTCTCTCAGGTTCCTGCTCTGATTTCTCATCACTTGCGCTCATCACTGTGGGCATGGTGAGTTCCATTGAAAGTTAATACTTAAATACCAATTATGTTTCTAGCTTTAGGTGGATTCAGAGTTGGAAAACTTCGAATTTCCAGAATAAGTAAAGAAAAAAGAAAACCCTCTCAAATCTTTATGTTTTCAGAGGATGTTGAAGAGGTTACTGATAATTCTGTACAGGAGGGGGGGGTGTATGGTTAGAAAGACTGACCCCGCACATCCCCTCTGAGACCACAGGGTCTGCCGCCGTGCATGTGCCCACCTCCCAGCCTCACCCACATCCTACTCTTGTTATTTGCATCTTTGAACCTTTTGATCCTAGCTTTCTCTGCCTCATGCTGATGTTTTGTGGTATCTTGAAAATGACCCAGATGTCTCAGTCCTTGTAGAAATGGGACGATGGTTAAAAGTACATACGAGAGAGTTACACGTGGGGAATAGAATTAATAATTTACTGAAGGTCTTTGGAGAATTAGCCGATATTCAAGTATCTAGTTTGTGAAATACGTAACTTCCAGATTTAAGTGATTATGTCATCACTATTAATGAAAACTCACGTGAATGGCCATTATTCACTCTACATTTTGGATTCAGTGTATCCAGAATTAGCTTCCAGGGAGGGGTTGTTGTCTTGGTTTTGGATGAGAAGAAATACCTTTAGGGTTATTACCGCTGTTAGTCTAGAAAAGATAAAGCTTTTTCTTAGTAATTCAGTTCGTTCACATTCAGTGGTATTTCTGGGCAGTGTGGGTTAAATACCCATCGTAGTCCAGGACTGGAGGACGTCCTCAGAGTCCTTGAAAAAACCTTCCCTGTGTTTTCCCCGCATGTGCCTGGGTTACAGGGGGTGCATCAGCCCATGGCTCTGTTTTCCTTCCCTCCTGCTTCCCAGAGGGACTCTGGTTACCTTTACTGAGTTTTCTCATGTGCCTGAGGGACAGTTACCTTGCTTTTATAAGCTTCTGATTTGGAGACTAAGTGGGCCCATCTTTCATTGATTCATATGTAATTCTAAATGTTTGGGGGAGGCAGTATTATGTTGAAGCAGTCTTGGTGGAAGAGTCCCTTGTAGCCTCTTTTCTAATATTAGTACCTTTGTTTCTCTGCTTATAAAAGTAATATAGGAAATATAAATAATTTAGACAGATACCTAGAAGTAAAAGTGCTAGTTTCATGTAGAGCATAAATATTTTAGACCCTTAATATACATATTGTGAAATTGTGTTCCAGAAAGTCTGTACCAATTCACCTTCCTGCCAGTTGAGTAAATGAATAAATTTTTATTGGAATGGAATATTATTACTAAGAAAATCTCACCAACTTAATAGGTAAAAATATCTTATTCACTGTATTTTTTTTTAAAAGATTTTATTTATTTATTTGAGAGAGAGAGAATGAGAGAAAGCACATGAGAGGGGGGAGGGTCAGAGGGAGAAGCAGACTCCCCGCCGAGCAGGGAGCCTGATGCGGGACCCGGTCCAGGGACTCCAGGATCATGACCTGAGCCGAAGGCAGTCGCTTAACCAACTGAGCCACCCAGGCGCCCTGTATTTTTTTTTTTAAAGATTTTATTTATTTATTTGAGAGAGAGAATGAGAGACAGAGAGCATGAGAGGGAGGAGGGTCAGAGGGAGAAGCAGACCCCCTGCCGAGCAGGGAGCCTGATGCGGGACTCGATCCCGGGACTCCAGGATCATGACCTGAGCCGAAGGCAGTCGTTTAACCAACTGAGCCACCCAGGCGCCCCTTATTCACTGTATTTTTAAAATTATTAGTGAGCTTTTAAAAAATGCATAAATAAGCAAACAGACACATATATATCAGGCTTTTGTACCTTCCACCCCTGGCAGCATAGGAATATAACATTTTAAGTGCTAAAATATATTTCTTTTCCTTTTTCTCTTTTTTGCTTTTTGTCTTTTCAGTCTTTTTCCATCCAGAGTTCATCTTTGTATTTTTTTTTTCTAGATTTAAAAAATGGTCTGATTTAAAATAAATTTATTCCTTCATCTGCATGAAGTTTGTTTATGTGCTGTAGAGGTGAGGATTTACATAGCTTTTTCTTGGAATTAGTAACCATTTTTTTCCAGCACCTTAGTTGTAAAGAACAGAATCCCCCCTGAGCTAGCTTAAGCAGACACATAATGTTCTGAGAATTTTAGGTGGCTCACAAAATCTCTGGGTACAGGGGGTAACTTCCAGCAGTAATGCCTGGAGCTGGGCCCCAGAACTGGCCAGGTGAGGGGTCGGCCAGCTGCCTGTGCTGACGCCCTTCCCAGCAAAATTGAGGCCAGGCCAGGTTTAGAGCTGTTTTTCCTGCCTTACTTTTGAGGAAGAGTGTTAGGTGGCTGCGTCTGATTAGGGAAGAAGTTTTCTGGAAATTATTTTGAGAAGGCAGTTCTCACAATATAGGAAATTAAAAAAAATATATATATAGGGAGAATGTGCAAAAGGTTGAGTGACCACAAGTGACAGACTGAAAGTGACTTAAACCAGTTGTCTGAGCACCTTTCATCATTGATTGGTATGCCACCTTCCTCATATATTAAATTTGCATTTTAAAAAGTGTGTAGCTAGGAGTATCTGTTTTAGGTATGTCTTCGATTCTGATTATTTTTCCGTTCTTGTGCTAATGCCGTAATTATTTTTTGTGTGTGTTATGTTTTAATTCCTACTGGTGTACATTACTAAATTTCTTTTTCAGTTCTTAGTTATTCTTGCTTATTTTTTTCTTCCAGATGAACTTTAAGATCACTTCATCAATTTACAAAAAATAAATTTGCATTTTGATTAGAATGAATCAAATCTTCACATTCATTTGGTAACAATTGACCTTGTTAGAATACTCGTTCTTTCCATCCAGATATATGTGGTACATATATCTTTAGTCAAAAAATTTTAATGTACCTCAATAAAGTTGTGCAGTTTTCTTCATAAGGATATTCACATTTATCACTAAAGTTATTCGGAAGTGCGTATTATTGCTAATATAAATAGACTTAGGTTTCCTTTTATTTTCCTTGTTTTTTCTTGGTAGGTAGGAAAGCTGTTAAATTTTGCATATATGTTTTGTGTTAGACCCTTAAATTTATTAACTCTAAGAAAAGTGTTGGGTTTTCTAAGAATATATTGATGTATGCAAATAAAGTAATTTTCAAACATGGTAAGTCAGACAACTCAGAGACATGAAAATAATATCTGTATAATTAACTCAATGAGCTAGGTGTAAAATGCCCTCAAAGGGGAGATGGTTCTAACGTTGTAATAATGCTTGCCTTCCCTCTGTGCAGATACTCTAAGTAACGTGTAAATCCGGTGATTTATAGCACCCAGATATGCTTTGTAAAATCAACCGCATGCCTGCCTTGGTTTCCCTGTCAATCTACACCGCATACCCAGACACACATGGCATTTTCTCCCCAAATGCAGGTTCTTAAGCTCCACTTTTGGATTCTGGTTAGTAACAGATTAATTCAAGCAGACTGATGCCTCAAGAAGTCTCTGTAGCCTTCCCTCTCCATCAGCGCATTGGTGGAGGGGATTTCATAAATGAAAACAGGCTGGGGCTCACTCAGTTCAGTCTTCCTGCCCCAAGCCAGTCTCTTCCTTTCAACAACTAAGCCAGGTGTTTAGAGAACAGTGTTGGTGGTGGGGTTTGTGGAATGTTATACTTAGAAGATTTTTTTTTTAAACAGTAAATAAGCTCAAACAAGTGGAAGGAATTTGGTAAATGCCTGTTTCTAAGACTTCAGAGACTCCAAATTATCCTGTCTTCCAGGCAAGAGAACAACTCACAAAAGGGCATTAGTTACAGAGAAATTCACTAAAAAGCCTAGGGGTTATAAGCATCATTGGATAATAGCCTCTAGTTCCGTAGGTTATGAAACACACAGAGAGGCAGACGTGTCCTGAATAAGGAAAGGATCTTGCTGGACAGATTGTGCAACTTTAAATATTTTAATAAGATTCCAGTTTTATTTGTAGCCTTAAAGGCAGTTCACAGGCAGCCCCGTTCCTTAGTTGTTCATGGACCTTCTAGCCGTACTACATAGTATCTGCATTCTGCCTATTTAGAGTGCAAATAAAGATGAGCGGACTAGACTCAACCCATGGGAGAAGGTGGGGTTTGGGGTGCTTTTTCTCTAAGGTCTTATCTATATCTCAAGGTTTTTGATCTATGGGACTGTACTGTGATTGGTCACTTTAGGTTGGTTCTTAACGAACTTAGGAATTTGGCTCTGAGCCTAACCCAAGTACAGCTCAGATTCTGCTCTTCCCAGTGAGAGCTGGAGTGGTTGGATGGGATTTGGGAAGGCTTTGTGGAGAAGGGAGGAGATGGGTTAAGTCAACTGTATTAAAAGGCCAGAGTAGGAGCTTTCTTAATACTTGAAGGATTACAGGATATTTGAGGTTGGAAGAGGTTGCGTTTTCGGCAGGAAATACAAGGAATCCTGTCACATCTTGTGGGGATAGAGGCTGTAACATTCTCCTGCTGTGCTTAAATATTAGAATCCTTACCAGTCCTTCCATGCTTCCTTCAGAGTCTGCAGGGTCTGACTTTACTGTTGCCACAAAACAGTGCTCCACGTATTCCTTGCTGCCTAACAAGGACTCAGAGTGTACAATTGCTGAAAAGTTAAAATAAAATCAGTTTGATGTGTGTGTGGATAATATCTTCTGTGATACTGTACTAGAAAATCTGTAATTAGCCATTTTTGCTATTTAAAAATATTGCAGTCTGATCTGGAAAAAAAATGACACAATTTCCTTAAACCTTGAAGTTCATTATGGAATGGAACTTGAAATCTGCTAGAGCCACGATTAATTATTCAATAATCAGTTAATTATTCTGGTAATCAACTTCACAAGGAAATCCTGCCTTTTTGAGAAGGGAAAGCAACTTTTCTTTTTTTTTTTTTTTAAAGACTTTATTTATTTGACACAGAGAGAGAGACAGCTAGAGAGGGAATACAAGCAGAGGGAGTGGGAGAGGGAGAAGCAGGCTTCCTGC